GGTTGTTATGTAAAAATAAGATTGACTTTAACAAAGAATTAGAGAATTAATATATATTTTTCGTTCTTCGTAGCCGGATTATTATTGAATTATCCTTTACGGGTAAATGTTATTACGAACAATATCAGGCGTGTTTGTGCTTTGAGGACTTTGAAGTGCTTTTTACAAATAAACGGTGATTGACACGGATATCACGACTTTAAAAGCTGATATTTCTAAAATGAAAAAATATATTCGAAATGGAAAATGGGTCTTGAATGAGATTTTGTTTTATTCCAGAAAATGTGTTTCCTTCTTCATTTTATCATTTCATATACAGGGTATATACTCTTCTATAGGAGATATGGAAAGTATATATTTCGAAACATGCGATAATATACAGGGTATATTTCTGAACGGAGACAATAGCATTGCAACATCCTGTAACTCATTTGATTGCCAACGTCACCGATTGTCACAGAGAACTGGAAAGTGTCAAGACAAATACGAATTTGCTATCCAAATATCCATTTTATATGTTGAAAACGGAAGCAGATTCGTTCTCGAAACGTCCAAAGCTAAGAGCTAAGCTCTTCTCCAAACTTTTTTCAATACAAATTGTCACTGACAAGCTAGTGAATTTTTTTTTGGCTCTCTGATAGGAACATTCTTTGAGCGCAGTGACATTTTGGGACAAATTATCTGATTTGTCCTTACTGTATATTGAAATAATATTTATATTTGTATTTTATAGAAACGAGGAGAGAAAATCCCAAAAAATCTGGAATAATGAATGTACCACCTCCTCGATTAACCTACAGACAGTATTTTTCAAATAACCTGTTTATGAAATGAGAAAATGAAACAAAAAAAAAGTTTTCTGGAAGAAAACAACATCTCATTCAAGTTCCTTTTTCCAAATTTCGAATAACTTTTTACGTTTTCGAGATATCAGCTGTTAGTGAAGTCCATCAATCACCCTGACAGCCTCGCAGTCCAGTAGATGTCCCCTGAGTCTAGGATGGCCCGCGAGAATCCGGTCATGGTCTTGATTAGTGCCTTGGACCCTCCGAACAACGAACCCCCTAGAAGAATAACGTAACAGATATTTATGATACCAACATGAATTCCCACAACAATCATAATATTAGTTCCCAATCGTAGCCAGTGTTGTCATGTCGCATATTTTTCATTTTTCATCGCTGCTTCATAAATCTAAAGCAATAAATTCATGTATTTGTTAGTCGGATTATGTATAAACACTGGAGAATTAATGCGTAATGATTCATACCTAATTCTAGTCAACTCGTCGAGAGCTTACGTACGCAATTCAAGTATTTTCAATACTTCTTGTTGCAACGTCGCTTCTGGGTATTCGACAGTGGACAGCAATAAATGTTTTCTTTGGTATCGTCGTATTGTTTATGTGTCGTTCGGAAGGATTTTCTCTACTTATGTTCCGTTTTGTGCTTCATCAATAATATAAACTGAGTTTATAACAATATTTTGCTGATCTTTGTACAATGGTGAGACGTTGTGAGGTGTGTAAGAGACAATTTGATCCAAGTGATCAGAACACGTCATTTCACAGGTAAGCGGCCAGTGTCGTATCATACGAAATTTCAATATCGTTTCCCCAAATTGAGATGGAAGCAATAAATATCCAATAAATTAATAAGATTAGATTTAGGCTCTCTGCAACATTCAGTGTTCTCCGGTGATGTGAAAAATATTTACAGTTTCCTCAAAATGCAGAATTGATGAAAATATGGGAGAAAAACATTGGAAAAGAAAACGTTTCCAACGAAGCTAGGATATGTTCGGATCATTTTCATATCAGTGACATAATGTTTAGTCCAGGTGGAAGGAGATTATCGAAAAGAGGATAGCTATACCTGTTTCTCACCATAAGAAGGAGAGGTGAGAATTTCTTCAATGAATAACTAAGTATTGAAACGGGAATAATTTGAACCCATGTCGACAGTGGAATAATCAAGACCTATGTGACTAATGCTGTGGACTAATGTGGTGATCATTATGTGGTAATAATTGTAATTTTGTTATTATTGTAGGGTCATTCTTGAAGGAAGCATTGAAGAAAGCAGAATATGTACATCACAACAGAATGAAGGAGCAACACAATGACTCCATTTTGTGTTGTTATCTGACAATATATTGTCATCTCCCGTGAAATGTCGAATTTCAAGAAAATGGAGCTTTGTCAAATGTTCTATTACTTGAGAGGAAATCAGATGGCTACAAGCCGAAGAAATAAAAAAATTCGCTATTATCTGTTACAGCCGTAGAAAAAGTATAGTGTATAACTCGCACGGAACGCTGATTTCCCACTCTTATGATTTGCAGCATTCGCCTACGGCTCATGCAGCAAACTTTATTATCGTGTGAAATGACTATCATTCTGTGCTCGATAAGCAATGTACCTACTATTTACTGAATTGAGTGACCCTTTCTTATTGTATGTTCATAAGTTTGACAACAACGAACGTGTCACAATAAAAATGTTAAATTTCGTGTCCCAATTCCTGATGTTTAGGTATGACAAAAATACGGATGTATCGTATCTATCAGAATGTTTGTATAGCAATTTGATGAATACAGACTACAGTAAAATTAATTCGATATTTATTGCCAGAAAAAGCATATTTTTAAATTTTCTTCCACAATCAAGAATTTATTATATCAACTATCGAGCTTTTTTCGCACTACGGCACTGGTGCTGGGAGAATCAGGTGTTGCTATCCTTGTTTAGCATGAAATAAACAATATAGATGTTGGTTCCAAACAAACTGTATTGCCAGGGCTATGGATTATTCATCTAGTCTGTTTTATGATCGAAGCTTGGACCTTTTCTCAGATAAAATTGGGCTTGTCACAATAATTCTGGAAGGTCTTTTCAGTGTATCTTCCTCAATACTTCTTCCTCTATTCCAAAATCTCATAATGGTTCTGTATCAATCTGTCTGCTCGTTTCCCTCCACTTCGATATGTCCTGGCACCCATAGGAGGATCACTTTGTTGATTCTATTTAATCTGTTCGTCGTTTTGTAGGCATATCAAAACCATCTTTGAGTTGATGTGAGGTGAGCTCAATGCTTTGATGGCCGCTTGCACGGATACTTGAATTGATCAATGAAAACCGACAGATAGAAAATGAAAATAATCGATCACAAAGACATTTTATATTGTCTATCACAGAAAACAATAGTCCCATTCATTTACTATATTATTTATTGAATTTGAATGTTAGCTATGATGAACTAAAAAAGCAACGAGCTGCAATCTGATTCTACTTATTAAAATTTCTGATAATGAAAACTATTTTATTAACTCCATAACAATTGTCAAAAGTAGTTGGAAGAACCAACTGTTGACACTTGCTTGACAATTCTTTAGATTGTATTTGGTTCTTTCAATGATAGAAAACAAAGTTTAAGTGTATGAATAAGGATTGGAATGATGGTAAATGTATAAGTACGTCGAACTTTTTCAGCTTTGTTGATGGTTCCATGGGCGCCGGCAGTGTAAGGGTTCACTTGCACTCCCGTGTCCGAAAAGGATGATTGAAAACTTCAAGGTTTTAGGTTACTGTTCAAATTTGTTTGTTAATTGTCATAATACACATGTATACTTATCTAAAATTAATATAATATAATAATATTAGAGCGTTTAGATGTAGATACACCACCCTGAACGTGATCCTGGTGGCGCCCATGGATGATTCACAATATTGTGGATATAAATAATGGTTCAACAAATTGCAAAGTTCTCGGGAAGAAACGGTTTTTTATAGTATCAGTTTATCTGGCCGTGGGCCTACCATGTACTCACGGCGTCGGGGTGAGGGTAGCCTCAGATGATTCCAGACACCACTGGTTAAAAGCTTGAGGTCCCCACTCTTGTCATGATAGCGGTACGTGGGAAAGGCCGCGAACGGACACCCATCAAACGGGACTGGAGGATTCCGGTCGACATGGGTAGCTGGGCTTGCTCAGCGAAAACTGGAACTAAAACTGCCAGTCATCGTAGGCAGAGCCGGGTCCTCTCCTGTAAACGAGGTAGAGGAAAGTGTGAAAGTCCTCGAACGATCACTCATTCAACGGGACGAGAGGATTGTTGTGAACATGAGTAGCAATGGGCCAAAGCCTCTTGCGACACAACCAATCAAACGTAACAAGAGGAATCTTGTTGACATGGGTACCTGGGGTGAAGAGGATAGCCCCATCAGGCCGTACATACGGCCTGGTGCTTCACCTATTGGGTTGGACTCCAGGGGGCAGCGGTTTCCAAAAACACCACCGGACTACGATAGAGGAGGTGAAGCAGAATCCCACTATGGGTCAAGTGGGAGGATATCTTGCCTGCCTCGACGGGTGAGCAGCGTTTCTGCTCGGGCACTGACACTACAGAGCCAGTAGTTTGTCTCATCAGACGGCCTCACCATTGGTATAATAAAATGGTAGCAGTAGAACATGCCGTTACATAACGGAGATGGCTCTAGCGCGCTGATTTGGTGTACCCGAACCCTCCATTTCTCCCTGGGGTGCTGTCGGTAAAGTCGAAAGATAGGGACCGGCAGTCATCCCTATGGGTGTCTTGTGAGTGGGGGTGGGAATTGGTCCCACCCGATTGCTACCCCGGCAATACAGATTATTATTTTTATTATAGTATCACTTTATCAATTTATATTAATTAGGATCAAGATCACATGTTTCTGGCCCTCTTTGTATTCAGTGGTAATAGAAATATGATTTATGACTTTGTATTCATTTGTTCTCTTTCACGAATTAACGTATATGAAATAAATGTGAATAACTTCATCAGCAGCCATGATATCTTCGTTTCACAATATATCTCGTCGTTACCTTCCGTGTTTTGATCTCAGACAAGAGGCACAGGCAATCGGAGAAAATAGTAGGCTTTGAAATGACAACTTTCTGAATGTTAAAGAAATGTTTTGTTGATGAAGGTATATACCATAACCAATTTTTCCTACTTTTCAGGAATCCAGCTGTGAAAATGTTATCCAAAGAGATATAGCTCGTACTTTTCCAGCACACGACTTCTTCAAAGAAGTCGGCGGTCTAGGCCAGGATTCTCTCTATAGAGTTAGTAAAGCATATGCAGCATATGATTCAGAAGTTGGATACTGTCAGGGATTAAGTTTTTTAGCAGCTACCCTTCTTCTACATGTAAGATCAAATAACATTTGCGAATATCTGGTTGTTTCAATGATGATTTTTTTTTAAGATGCCTGAAGAACAAGCTTTTTGCATTTTGGTGAAATTGATGTATGATTATGGTCTGAGAGATTTATACAAAGATGGCTTCGATAATCTATATCTTAGACTCTTTCAACTGAATAAGCTTATGGAGGAACAACTCACTCCACTGTGGGATCATTTTGTTGAGCATCATATTGAGACCCATATGTTTGCTTCTCAGTGGTTTTTGACATTGTTCACTGCCAGGTTCCCCTTGTACTTTGTTTTCCATATCATCGATATATTTTTATTACAAGGAATCGATACACTGTTTCAAATAGCTCTTGCTTTATTGATGGTAAGTTTGATTATTGTGAGTGCACAAATGAAATCAACTTAGTCCCTATTTCTATGCCATTTTACACATTTTAGAATCATTTAATTTAATTTATCCAATGTTCAAGTGAACAAATACTAAAAATGTATAGTGCAATACCATATTGAAATGAACATGGACTTTTGATACAGAATACTATACAGTCTGGTTCATGAAAACCATTGGTGAGTTGAATTGGTAGTTTGAACTGGTATAGTTTTTTGAAATTTGGCTCAGCTTAAATATCTCCTGGCGCTTATATCGGGTGAATGGAATTCGAGCATGGGGATCTCGAAAACGGTAAGAACTATGAAGGGGGGTTGAATGGAGACAAAGTTGCGCAATTTAATGACTAACAAAATGCCGTTTTGGAATTAAAAAAATTCCGAATAGGTACTTCCGAAGATTCTTGAAAAATAAACGAATATTCGCGATTTCACTTTTATTTTTTCCTGACTCTATTTGGATAGATGTAACGAAACAAATCGCACATTCTCATTGCTACTTTTTCTTTTCTACAAGATGGTGTATTCGGAATTCTTCTCATTTCAACCTAAAATTGCGCAACTTTGCCTCCATTTAACCCTCTCTGTAGCTCTTACCGTTTCCGAGATCCCCAAGCATCTACTCGCATCTCACTAACCCGGTATAGCTCCTCCTCAAATTTTCTGGCAAGATTGAAAAGGAATCATATCTTTCATATCATGGTATGTTATTTAAATGGAATTCTCTTCTCTCTCAAATTCAGAATTTTTAGTAGGTCCTTCCTAAACTAATGAACCCTTAAATTATTACAATTTCTGTAATATAAATGATGCAGACTATCTAGCATTTGAATTTACCGTTGTTGAAATGCAATATGCAATAATGCAAAGGTAGAATTGATGATTGTTTTTAGAGGAAAGTTGACTCGACCAGAAAATGCGGTGAGGGTTAACGAACTCAATATGGATTCTGATTATATCATGAAATATAGGTTGCTACATCTGATATGAGTCCTAGAAGTTCGTGAATATTAAAGCTTTCCATCCATCTCAACATTCTGAAAAGTTGACCAATTAGTTGAATCTTCTGAATCGGCTAACTAACAGTTTTCATGAATTAGTTTGTATAACGCAAAATCATCAATCACATCATTATGTCTCATTTCTCATATACAGGGTGGCATTGAAATAAGTGCAAATATTTCAAACCCTGAGAAAGCTCGACGTATACTTTCGAATGGTAAAAATGAAAAAATCTAGGGATCAAAATAAAAGGGGTGAGACCCCTTTTTCCTTCCAAACTTTCTGCACTGTAGCAATTATGACGTCATCTCTGTTCGAATTTCCGTGCGGAAGGCACAATCACGCGGAGTTTCAATAATTTCAATTGTTTTACTTTTTCGGGATGAAATATCTTGTTAATTGAAAGAAATGGAAATAATCAGATATGGAAATATTCGTTAGACTGTATTATATCGATGTGCTGAGTATATGTGCTTATTTCAAAAACACCCTGTATAGCATGGAAATAAAGATCGTTTGACATACCGTAAAATGGGGTGAATCGCAACTTTGAGGTTTCACAATTTTCGCCGTAAATAAACTTCACGTCAAACTTTCATCAGTCAAGGGGTGATAAATAGTTATTTATACACCAAGGAAGTAAAGAATAGGGGTATAAGGTCCCGTGGTAATAATATTCTTCACTACCAAGGTTAATATTGAATTTTTTTCTCTAGTAGCAATATATTTCAATCATTTCAGTTATGTGAAACCGAAATATGGACCTATTGTCACTATGCATGCACTTATTTTCAATATTTAGACATGACTATGACAGTCGTTATTGATAAATACCTACTAGATTCGAGTGCCATTCCTCGAATCTTTGATCAGAACAGTACATTCGGGATAAAATGACAAAAACTACCTCTGTAATAAAAACACATTTTAGGGAAAGGTTTTATAGCTAGTGTTGGAAAAAAATAATTACAATTATCAATGCTCTAATTGACCTTCATTTCTAGTTCTAGTTGCATTGGGCAAAAAAAAACGAGGTATATTGCGGAAAGTCTTTAATATTCGAAACCTCAGGATTCATAGATTCTAGGGATTCAATACAGCTCCATACAAGCTTGGAATTCATCTTGCAGGAGTTCAGTGTTCTAAGAGCTATCTGACGGGAAGATTGTTGCATACTTACCGAGATTGACAGAGATATCCGTCTTCGATTTTCTGCTGAACACACCGGCTCCAACGCCAAGAGGAGTTTTCGAACCATCTGTGTACATTACGTTTTCGATCTCTGGGAATTGGATTGATCCACTTACCCACTCGTCTCTCTTCGGGAAGAGTACGTTGCAAGACTTTTTCACGTGTGTCTGAGTAGCAACATGGCGGGAACCATTCCTAGAGCTTGGTGATTTTTTATTTCACACAGTATCCCAGAGTAGTCCAGCAGTCGCCCCCTTGATTTTCCAGTGACAGGAATCTGTAGGAAACCATCCTGGCTTCCCTCTCCAAGACAATGTGGAGGGGAGTGAGGTTCAGGAGGTTTTCCACCTCTGCCGTTGGAGTTGAGCATATCGGCCTTGTAATGGCCAGGCATGCCAGTCGCTGAAGACCAGCAAGTTTTGACCTGGCTGTCCTTTAGTCCACCAGACTACCGAGCCATACGTGACCATTGCTTCACCATTGTTTGGTAAATCCAGTAAATCTGTTTGAGGTTCATTCCCAATGATTTGCCGCATACACTTCTGAGGTTCCAGAGGGAGAATCTGGCTTTGTTGATAGTTTTTGCCATGTGGGGTTCCAGGTGAGTCTTTTATCTAGCGTGACTCCGAGGTATTTCACCTCCGCCGCAAACGGAATGCTATTTTCATATAGAACAGGCTGACAAAGCTTATCTAGCTTTTGCATTTCGGTAAAAGGGACGATTACAGTTTTCCGGAGGTTCACTGACATCTGCTTTTTCTCGCACCATCTGTACACAGTATTAAGGGCTTCTTGTAGGCCGTTTGAGATCCTCGCTACAAATTTCCCTCTTACTATTAGGACTAGATCATCTGCATAGCATTGGAAAACCACCCTCTGCATGAAAAGACGTTCAGCAGAGAGTCAACTAGGAATGACCACATAAGGGGAGAAAGTACCCCGCCCTGTGGACAACCTGTTGCCGCTCTAAACCTGATCGACTTTCCATGCACTGATGATATGACGTACCGATTTCCAATCATGGTTTTGATCTAGTTGCATGTTTGCTGATTCCTCTACCTTACATTGCCATATAGAGTTATTGTGGTAGGGCATTATTGAACGCTTCTTCTATGTCCAGGAAAGCTGCCAGCGTCATTTCCTTATGATCTAAGGAATGGCTAATCTTTCCTACAAGATTGTTCAGTGCTAAATCCGTTGATTTGTCTGTTTGGTAGGCATATTGATGGGGATTTAGAGGATGTTCCCTCAGATTCCTCTCTCTAATATGCCTGACTAGAATATTATGATCATTATTATTAAATATGTGTTGAAAATCACTTCGGATTCGAAATGAGGACGTCCAATTCTCTTAACTATTCATATTTTTTCTAAAAAAATTTCCAGTTCTGAAAAATTAAATTACATGATTCGCTTGCCATTTTTGCTGTGACGTACCGTTTTCAATATATAAACGATAATTCAAAAAAGGGACTTTTTATGTCGCTCCCTGCACTTGGCTCCCCTCGTAGGTTAGGGGACTTTTGGAATTTTCACTTTCTATTCACTCCGAACATATCCCAAGTCTAAAAAAAATTTAATCTTCCATGTCCTCTACAACCCCTTTTTGGGCGTTCATTGACTGAAGTATTATTCATTTTAAAAAAATAGGAAATATCATCCCATGTTTGGAATATAACAAAATAGAATATATATAAATCATTATTAATTCTTTGAAAACCAAAAAAATTCAAAATCTAGTATGTAAAACGTCATATAAAACTTCAATAGCCACAACCAACCTTCGATGAATTATGATGTGAAATTAGCAATTTTTCGGTGCATCTATGAAAAGTGCATACTAATAATTCCAATCAAAATGGATTATCTGAAAAATCACCAAAGCAACCTATGTATTTTAGTGGACTCTTTTTTCTCTTGGGTACCCAACAGCGAATTGAATCGGGAATTTTTTTGGCGTTTTAATGACAGAATAATTCCATTATTTTCTTTCTCTTGTATAAAATGGAAGAATAGAATATCTAACATTCCAAACTGGTATTTTCTTGCAACTACAAAAGGTAGAAATCAAAAATGCGTACGCTACAAATCTGCTGGTGCCGTAACTGCGACCCAAAATAATGTGTTCATGATCCTATTTGAAAGTCAAATAAATAATTAACTTCTAAAATTATTCAATTTTCAAACTCAATTTGGTGTAAACTCTTTTTACCTCTAGTGGTATTACAAGTGAGAATATTCATTGCACTGTAAGCAGGCGTATCTGATGTCGAATTACATTTTACGGACATTTCACTCAAAATCGGCAGTAAGTTCATATTTTCATTACACCATAATGAAAAATTTCCATTTCTTATCAACTACAGAAACTGTGGATATAACGGAATCTTTTCATTTATAGTTCATATAGCATTTCCATAGTGAATTATTTATTGTATCCATATTATCTGATATTTAAATATTTTTGATAAGGTGAAATCTTCATCGTCATCTTCATCATCACCCACTGATTTAGTCAAAGAGCACCTCATCAATAAGCACTTTTCCCAACACGAATATCCTGCTTCGGTCGAATACCAAAGCAAAATCTAAGCTTCAATGCATCTGTAGTTCCAACATTATTTGACATTTTCACCCGAAAGTTTCTAGATTGTGTAAATGTAAACAATCCCCTGAATCCCAATGAAAAAAATCAATAGTTGGGGTTGTTTCCAGTTGAACCGGAAGTGACGAAACGTACATTTTTCTGACAATGAATACTTGATACCCACCAAATTTCAAAATTGGACCGCCAATCATCCATTTCTCAATATGTGCGTTGAAGATCATACAAGTTTTGTATTCTAACTGAGTATTTAAATTAGTTTAGGTTCCATGTGAGTGGGGCGAATACCGCCCCTCCACTAATTGAATAGATCGATTAATAAATTCATACTAAATACTTTTCACGTTCGTGTTGTTATTTTCACTGCATCCGTGAGCTGGTCAAACATGGTGAAAATATACGACTTTTTATTCATACAAATCTGTGAGGTGAGTTATGGAATATTGATTTGAATAGTATAAACTTCTTTGAATTGTTTTTTTTTAATATATTTTTTCTATTCGGATTATTTAAAGGTTCATATTAATTAACATGTAAAATGAGCAACTGTTTTTATTCACCACATCCATAAGAGGTGAATAGAAAACTGCTATATCTAAATTCATGAATGAAACAGATCCTGTACATAATTTATTATATCTAATGCGACACATTTTTTGATATTTTTTGTAGCAAAAAGACTAGTTTCTTCACTACAACACTGAGAAGGTGTCGAAACAAATCACCTACCTCTGATTGAGGATACCGTTAACCGTTCTAGCCTGTAGTTCTAGCAGTGGAAGTCAACATTCGAGTTAGAAAACGGCATACATTTATCCAACTGTACTCAATTTGGAAACAAACATTCTCTTGATAAGTATCATTCATGTGTTATAAGATGATGTTGGAATTTTGAAATGACCTTTGTAAGCGCATGCGTCGTTACAACTTCCGCCTCAGTGTTGGATGCAAAAAATATTTTTTATTTGAGCGAAGCGATACCCAATATGGTCTAAGCTATCCACCCTGTTTTACGGTAGTTGAAGTAACATCAATGTTTATGCAAATTATTGTGAAAAAATACTTTCTTCGAGTATGATATTCCTGTTATAAAAATATAATGGCTTACTGATAAATAATCAAGTAATTCTATTTAGGTATGTAAGAAAGATCTTCTACTATTAGACTTTGAAGGTATATTGAAATACTTCAGAGTTTCATTGCCGAAAAAGTGCAGGACCGAAGAGGCAGCTAAGCAGCTCATCAAATTAGCTTGCAGTATAAAAGTAAAAAAATTGAAGAAATATGAAATTGAGTTCATGGCATTGAAGGGTGAGTTGATTATATTGTTTTTTATAGACTATAAACTATCGTACTAATTTGAAAGGATCTGAACAGCAAACATACATTAGACAAGTAGGTGCGAAGTTTGAAAATTCCTTGATCTCTGAGCGCCATTGACCTTGAGCCATCTAATACGGATTTAAAGGTTTTGTAGATCATGTGTTTCTCTGCTTTCATCCATGGACGTTTTTCGTTTTTTAGTACTGTAGCACTGGAGTTTGTTGTGTTATCAAGAATTTTGTGGAAAACTTATCGTTTGTGAAGTATTTTCATTTATTATGAATGTCCATCAAGAAACGGTCGAGTCAATACAGAAATTCTCACGTAATTCTTTAAATTAGATTTGAGACAAAACTGAATCAGTATTTGGATGTTCATGTTATGACCTCAAAAATGTCATGAATGTTATTAAGTATGAAATAGTTCGCGGAAAAATATTATTTGCTGGTTGTATGTGTTCTGTTTCATAGACAAGAAGGCATTCTTCTGAATTATCTTTCATAAGTAACCGACAATCACATAATATATGTTTTGTCGTGTTTTCACAAATGATCTTCGAAAAGTTAACACATTTTTCCTTGTAGATGAAATTATCATAGAGCAGAAATGTATGTTAAGAATTAATTATATACCCACTCACCTTCAACCTTAACTATTCATTACTTCTGGAGTAGACGAAGGAAAAAGTAGATTGTAAACTTTATGATTTTCACAACGATCTTCGATTGTTTTGACATTTTTGTTAGTAAAGGACCCCGCAAATTTTCAAGGTAATTTGGGTCCCGGTGGATTTTTCTCAATTTTTGGTATGATGTAGTTCATTTGATTCAATTACATATTGGCATTGCGCCAACCCCCAAAAATGAACAGTTTTTTTTGCTAGGGGGGGTTGAATTCACATTTTCACCGAATTGATTATTTATTTCTGAGAGAATGAACAATATTCTAGATTTTTTTATTTCATCTAATTTCTCCTATGAATATATGCTTTTTGAAAAAAATATAGTGAGGGGAAATTATTACCCCAAACTCCCACTTTGAAAAACGAAAAAAAATGAGAATTCGCCTAACCGTCAAAAGTTATAGAAAATGTTCCATTACCCAGAATTATGGAAACCGCCTTTTTGTATTATTGCCCCTCACCGAATGGGAGGCGCCCATGAAAAAAAAGTTCGGTGGATTTCGCTGAATTTTTGATATGATGTACTCTATATGATACTGATCAGAAAATAATTGGGTGGCAATCCTGAAAAATGGACAGTTTTCCTGCTACAGGGGGTTCAATTCACATTTTGAACACATAAATAGACTAGATGAGTACCTATTTGATTCTGAACTTCTTTTCAATATATCATCTCCATTCCCTATATTCCCTAACAATTATTCATCAAAAAATATTTTGAGGGGGGGTTCCTACCCCTTCAAAAAGTATTTTGAGAAATATAAAACAAAAAAAAAACAGTGCTACTGTATCTAAAGAGCATAAGAGAATGATTAATTACGTGAAATCATAGCAAAAGCTCTCTTACATGATTGCTCCCTCTCCACCAAGTGGGGGGTGCGCATGAAAAACATTTTTGGTGCATGGATTTCCACTGAATTTCTATGAGGTGCTTTTTGTGATTCCGATCAAATCCGATTCCGATTATCGGTACCGGTTACCAAAAATGAGCAGTTTTTTCGGTAGGGCGTGTTGAACTCATATTTCTCCTTTGTGAGATTACCTCGAGAAGAATGTGTATTTTCCTCGACGGGTACAGAATATGTAATATGTATTTTAACTATTTTTTTTTCAACACAAAAAACTCATTATTTCGCCCACCCCAACACCTCTCAAACAAATAATAGATATCAAATTCAAGTTATTTTTTCATATATCCAACACTTATTTAAGAAATATTCTTCACTCAATGAACTTGATATAAATATTTCCTGTTTATTTCTATCGTTTTCATGAAATGAAAATCAAAATCTATGGTATAAGTTACTGTCGTTACCGCTTTTCAATATCAAACAGTCACCATCCCAGTCATTATTATTACTATCATTAAAAATCCCGTTAAAAACCATCATTTCAATTCTATCAATCAGTGAGTTATGCCCTCGGAAGTTGGATGAGCAATTGTTTCATTTAGATAGGTATAGGTATCCTAGTAACTGTCAAACTGATTCATTGTTTTTTCGAATGAAATCAAATGGTTATTGACCTGAGTCTTTCAGCCAATGGGAGATATAATAAGTGAAAAGTTATTATCTTTTCAGATTTGAATTATCTCATTCTCAATCATCATCACAGCCATAATCACATGGAATACAACCACATTATACCTATATTAAAAATCCAGTGTAAATCCATGCACCAAAGATGTTTTTCATGCGCACCCCCCCCCCCCCCCCCACTTGGTGGAGAGGGAGCAATCATGCAAGAGAGCTTTTGCTATAATTTCACGTAATTAATCATTCTCTTATGCTCTTTAGATACAGTAGCACTGTTTTTTTTTTGTTTTATATTTCTCAAAATACTTTTTGAAGGGGTAGGAACCCCCCCTCAAAATATTTTTTGATGAATAATTGTTAGGGAATATAGGGAATGGAGATGATATATTGAAAAGAAGTTCAGAATCAAATAGGTACTCATCTAGTCTATTTATGTGTTCAAAATGTGAATTGAACCCCCTGTAGCAGGAAAACTGTCCATTTTTCAGGATTGTCACCCAATTATTTTCTGATCAGTATCATATAGAGTACATCATATCAAAAATTCAGCGAAATCCACCGAACTTTTTTTTCATGGGCGCCTCCCATTCGGTGAGGGGCAATAATACAAAAAGGCGGTTTCCATAATTCTGGGGAATGGAACATTCTCTATCACTTTCGACGGTTAGGCGGATTCTCTTTTTTTTTCGTTTTTCAAAATGGGAGTTTGGGGTAATAATTCCCCCTCACTATATTTTTTTCAAAAAGCATATATTCATAGGAGAAATTAGATGAAATAAAAAAATCTAGAATATTGTTCATTCTCTCAGAAATAAATAATCAATTCGGTCAAAATGTGAATTCAACCCCCCCTAGCAAAAAAACTGTTCATTTTTGGGGGTTGGCGCAATGCCAATATGTAATTGAATCAAATGAACTACATCATACCAAAAATTGAGAAAAATCCACCGGGACCCAAATTACCTTGAAAATTTGCGGGGTACTTTGGAACCTACAGTTACAATACGAATCATTTTATAGTGTTGAAACGAATGCTTGCAAGATTGTTCCAATTGATGGATAGCACATCAATTATCAAACACCAAAGACAATACCAAATGAACAATGTCATAATAAAAATATACAACCACAGAAATCATAACGTCTTCACAACAGTTAATCACGAAGAAAAGACTGCTAAAACACAGAAAATGGATGCCCTGAAATTATTTTAAATAGTTGGCAGATTTACGTAGCCATTGTACTAAGATTATATTGTCCATGATATCAAATAATAAACCAATAATTCATAGAATATTCAATAGCACTCAATACACCTTCAAACATGGATCTTGCTAAAAGGCTATAGTTCAAGTACAAAAGTTAACAATAAATATCCAGCTTGACAACATCTAGTCGTCTTCGACGTCCCAGCGCGCTGGCATCTATCGAATAATAGAGGAGGCGACACTTTGCTAATAACAGATTTTTTCGTCCAAATCAGACTTTGACCCTACTTATAACGAAGAAAAGTATGAGGAAGAGTGAGGAAAAACAGTTGAAATTCTTCACTTGTGCATCTGATGGACGGGTTTTTGGGAAGAGCTTCATATATTTTCCTTTACTTGTTCATTATGGAGTGCCTTGAACATCTTTGACGTTTAACGCTTTTTATACCGGGTGTCCCAAGTTATCGTATAGAGGTAATAACTAGGTTATTTGACAAGATAATTATACAATTATAAAAACTACTTTGAATGACATTGAAGTACCTTCCGAATGATAAACAAATAGATACAAGCTCAAAGTAATTGCCACAAATTAACAACGATGATAGATGACGGGAGAAAAACAACTACTTTCTTGTCATGTCATGACACTCAGAAGATTACATCCTCCCGAAATCTATGCATCGATTCATATGATGATTTAGCCACGTTACGCTCGACACCTAGAGACGCGAGCTCGTTGGCTTTACAAAAATTCACAAAAACTATATCCAGGCATTTTGAATAAAATTCACAGTTTTGATGAAATTATAATAAAATTATATAATTGAATAATCAAATGGGAGATTAGAATGGCAAAATGAAAAATTTCAGAAGAAAAGTTGCTACTTATGGGCATGATATATCTCGAAATCCAAAATTTAATGGTGGTTCATCTAGTTATGATACCTTATTGAAATTCCAATTAGACTTACCATCGCTGCGAACTTTGAATAGACGAATTTCAAACATTAATTTTTAACCCAGTAAGTTGAATGAAATTTTTCATTATCTGAACATTAAATTTCAAAATTTTGATTCGGGAGAATGGGACTGTTGTATCTATTTAGATGATATAGCAATCACTCCTGAAAACAATATTGTGTAGCTTCTTCAGATATTGACCATGAAACATTTAACAAAAAGTTTTGGTGGCATTTATCATACCCTATTTCCTACTCGAGGAGACGCCTAGCATCTCATTCAAAAAGGATGGACAAAGAAAGATACAATCACTGGCAAAAAAAAAAACGGCCACCAAAAAATTTGCCCAAATTGTTCAACCTGTAACTTTTTTGATACTTGTCCGATTTTTGTGATATTTCGATCAAATCGTAGGTTCATGTTCCGGAATGTTGGCCTATATATTAGTTTCCCTGAAAAGCTGATGACTTGATCATTATACAGAAAAAAACCAAAGTTACTCCTTCGCCCTTTACTACTTAACGCCCTGTGGCGAAATTGAGTGGTAGAACTTGGCTTCATCATGTTTTGAATTGAAGTGGGATCCTTTCTTGACACAATAATTTTTCATAAGCAAGACACAATAATTCATCTCCACAAATTTATTATCTGAATTATCATCAGCAGAAGCGTTTTTTTTAAGACAATTTCTACAACGAAAGTTTTTTATAGTTACAAAAATTATACCTTGGGTTATGTACTCACGTGGAAGTGAAAAAAAGAAGGCAACAATAATATTATACAATTGAATATACATTCTTTCAATTAATGAAGGGCAAAGTGCCCATGGCCCAAAGGGCCCTATGAAGGGTACCAACACTTGTTCATCCAAGTAATTAGAGTTTGAATGGGGCCCATCATGAGAATTTTGGTTAACATGTCATGTTAACTTACTTATATACTTATTGATTAACAACTTAGGAAATCGAATTTTTAGCACTAACCGGAAAAAACCTTAGTTACAATGAACAAACAAACACCAGACCTGGAGTCAATAACGAGTATGCCCTCCTCGAGTTTCAGTCACAGCACGGCGGTTGACGTGGCATCGAGTTGACGAAATTTCTCAACTTGTCATGAAGAATTGCCGAGAGAAATGCCTAAATTGTCCTTGAAGGGCGAATCATACTTGAAGAGCCTCTGACAAGGACGGACGAAGACGAATGAATCTCTGGAGTTCATCCCTAAGATGCTCTATTGGTTCTGAATTATTGTTAATACAAATTAAGAAATTCCATGCTGTCTTAAAACACTTGTATCTTCCCTTGAAAATGAGATATTTACGTGATTCTAGAACTATTGTGTTGAGAAGGGACGAGATAGGATCACACTTCAATTCAAAACATGATGAAGCAGAAGGTTGGAGAATGTTTCTGAATTATTGGTAGTAAAAAATCTAAAAATCCATACTTTCTTAAAATCCTTGTACTTCCTCTTAAAATGTGGTTATCGACGTGAATAAAAAACCACTGTGTTAAGAAGGATCACACATCAATCAAAAACATGATGAAGCTAAGTTTAACCTTTCCTTGACGGGGCCCATAGAAATTTCGTAGTCGCCGGTGCGGGGTAGGAGTGCTACCCGACTAGAAAATCGTACTTATGGGCAAGAATTGAATAGATTTAGATTAATTTTGAAATAATATTTTATCCTGAAAATTAAATATAACATAGATAAAAAACATTACACGATATATTAATGGTTTATACTAATTATTATGAGTTAGTTACCCATGGCTAATCACTCACAAACTCACAAAAACGTAGGATATTGCTCGCAACAGTACGTGTCTTCCGGTCACTGAAATCAATCTATCAAGTAGTACCTAGAATGCACCGATTTGTTTTGTATGACGCATGCGCGGAGTCGATAAGCGTGGTGAGCAAGTTGAAACATTTGAGCCGGACGGGGTATGTCGCACACCCCAACGCATGAATCTCTATCTAACGTTAAAAATATTCATGAGACCTACAATATCTAATCATTATATTGTCGGAAATGCATCGTTTGAGGATTAGGTATGAGGAAAAGCACGAATCTCTTTTTTACAAAGTTACAAGGAATAACGTAAAGTTAGGGTATGCGACATACCCCTACCCGTCACGGAAAGGTTAACCACTCACCTTTGCCACAGGATGTTGAGAAGGTGAGGGTGAAAGAGTAACTTTTGTTTTTCCCTTTATAATGATCAAGCCATCAGCTTAGCTACTAATATTCAGGCCAACATTCTGAAATATTAATTTACGATTGGGCGAAATTTCACCAAAATCGGACAAGAATTGAAAACGTTAAATGGCGAACAACTTGGCTGAATTTTTTGGTGGTCGGTTCTTCTGCCGGTGAGTGTATATGGATGTACTCTTTCCTGAACATGTAGACTTAAGTGTAGATTAAGGAAGATGAGAGGAACCTTTTTTTAATGCAAAGACATATTATTGTTCTTGTTTCGCAAAATATTTGATCTGCTTCAGTGCAAGTCGCGTTTCCTTACTCAAATTATACAAAAACGTCAAAACAAAAGTATCAAATACAGTGAGAAAATAATTAAGCATTTAGGACATAAACACTTGCAATCAGTATTCATTTAGACGAATCGTTACATAGATTTCATAAATTCAATGTTCTGCTTGTCATTATAGTAAGGGAAGTAGTTGTTTTTCTGTTGTTCTCAATTTCAATTATCATTTGTAGAAATGAATATGAGTTTTTCCTCACAGTTTGGTCACACTCTGACTGATATTTAAAATGTGAACGAAATTTTCGCTTGTTGCTTTTCAAATGTGAAACAGTAGTTTCCGTATGAAGCTCTCTTGATTCATTCAAGAATAATTTCGTAGCCATCTTTCAGTATGAAATTTCACTACGAAGTTTTCTCGATCCATCTAAGAATAATTGCATAGTCCTTCTTGAGGAGCGGTCACATAGTAGAACAGGCGTAAAAGCTGTATGTGTGTGCTCCTCTAGACAGCTGGGAAATAATCAGTTTGGATACAGAGGCTGCAGACAATGCGGAGAAAGAGGCTAGCGAAGTGGAACAGCTCCGGGAAACAGTTTTGAGATACGAGGAAGAAAGGAAGTTGATGATGGATGAGATTAGTCAGTTGAAAGAGATTCTGAAAAGGGAAGTGAACCAGGCGGAATCCGATAAGAAGAACAATATGGCAATTATCAATGATTATCAGGTGATACGGCAGAGGATGGATACACAATTACAAACATGTAAAATGGCGCTTTCTAATTATAAGGTAAGTTTTGTGAGATGGTTAAAAAAATTAAATGTCTCCCAAGAACGATATACTCACAAATCCCCCTCTACAACACTTGATTTTAGTTTGATTGAATGATTATTTTATCACATTGTATAAATCATTTTCGACAATGGATGTGCCGGATAACTGCTAAGAACTTCAAGAACTAGTACAGCTTTTGTTGATCTCACGATGATTCTATTAAACAATAATAGTAATATCACTTCTCAATTTTACAAATATTCAATTCATTTGGTAAACCAATTATAATCTACTTTTGATTAAAGGCAATTTATTTCGTCATTTGTTCCTATGGAATACTGACTTTATCGAACCAGAATTCATCGATCATAATCGTACATTTATGTGAGTCGGCTCTAATATATTCTACAACGAGTATAGACATACGTTCTCACTAGGTCACTGGATGGTATTAATTAGATAAGAGTTCGGACACAGAAATGACAACTGTTAGTGTTTTTGAATGTTTAGATTTATTAAGTTACACACCTTGCATTGCGACAACAGCATCATAGTCGTTCCGCGCTTTTTCCTTCAAAAATGTTTGAATTTGACAATAAACTTCATGAGAATGATGGAAGTAAGAACTGGTGCGCTTGCTCCCTATTGAAGGTCATTTGCAAGTTTCTCGATGGCGCCTACTCTGATAAACCTTTGATAAACATACTTGACGTGGGTAAATCTCGCTAAGCTCATCCTGGTTACAATCCATATTTACAGGAAACATATTACCGACCGATAAATATTTGGATACATATATGATTTGGATCAGAGCAGTGAACTGATTTCTGATCAAAGGATCGAAACGTCAATAATGTCATCATGTCAAAAATATTCTTGAGCTGAAAACACCCTGAAAAAATGGTTATTTTTGAGATTGTGGTCAAGTTTTCGTTAGGGACGTGTTCCATAGTGTCTAAATTTTGTGTATAATACCTAATTCACCATAGAAAAAAGAAAATCTCTGTTCTACAACAGTATTATTTCAGTGATTTGAAATATTAGCGTGAACTGGTGTGAATAAATTCTAAGGTGAGTACCAGTTACCATATCTGCTTATTATGATTTTCGATATTGGTCTATTTCAATAGTTGATACATTCTTTGTTCTGGTTCTTCAAAGAGGAAATTCATCAGATTTCATGCTTTGAATAGGTTCATGTCATGAGAGAAGTGAAGCTTATTAAAATCGGCTACAAACAATATTTCTTGCTACTATTTCAAATTGAAATTTGAATGAAAATGTTGAGCAAAGTATTTATTCGACCACAGAACAATGATGGAAATAGATTCATCCCTCACAGAACCAAGGTTTTGAACGATTTTCCGATTATGGCGCCTCTATCGTCAAATACCTGAACACCACGTCCAAAACTCGCTTGCAATTGTTCCATATCGAGAGTTAGTCTGACGAAACAATTGAAGAGTGAGCCCACCAGTTAAATTTCTATACATCTCTTTCATGAGCGTCAGAATTGAAATATAATTTCATAAACTATTGAGAAAAAAGCGTAAATGAAAATGTCTTGTTGTTTAATGAATTTCGGGAATTCTGGAGGTAATGGCGATTTCATTTCTTTAATTTTCCAAAGGAAATATTAACCATTCCCTTATGGGAGGAATGTATGAAACGGCCTGGATGGAAAATTAATTTAAAGTTAGACCCATTTTCAAACAGACTATTGAAAAAAAATCAATATTATCATCACACGAAATACGAAACAAAATTAGACTATGAGTATATCCATATGTGTCTATTTTGTCATATTAAAATGTTGTTTTGTTAATTCTTTTCATTTTTATAACTATTGTTCTGCGAAAAGTGTATCGCTATATAAATTGAAGTGGGTGATTATACCCTATTTCTATTTTCCATCTACGACAATGATTGATTTGACAGAAAATCTAACCTCTTAAATCGTATCTGAAGGTAATCAAAGAAAACTTTGGGATACGATAAACTATTGTTTGAGAGGTTCCACAAAATCAAACAGAAATAGTGATATTGAATCGATAAAAATGAATGGTAACATTGTCAATAATGATCTAGAAATAGCACAAATTATGTACTATAATTTTTCGAGTATTGGTGAGAATATAGCAAAGGAAATAAATATTGTATTATAATAATCTTCCTCGTCAAAATGTCTACAATATAATGATTCCACAATGCTTTTGTTTCCCACTGATGAAGGCGAAATCATTTCTATAATTCATGATTCAAAAAAGAAATGCCCTGATCCAGAAGGTTTGATTACTAAAGACATATTTGAATTGAGATACATTTTAGCTACACCAATATCAAAATTGATCAATGAATCTTTCATAAAAGAAAGTTTCCCACACGAATTGAAACATGCATCAGTAAGAGCTATTTACAAAAATGCAGATGCTCAGAATCCAACTAACTATAGACCAATAGCTTTGATAAGCATATTTTCTAAAATTTCTGAAAACATTCTCAAGAAACGCATTGTGGAATTCATCAACTAAAAATATAGCTTTGATTCTGATCAATTTGGTTTTCAAGAAAACAGTGGAACACAAGCAGCAGCATTACAAGTAATAAAATCAATCCAGATAGGACTTGATTCAGGAAATTATTTGGTAGCTGTTTTCATTGATCTCAAGAAGGCTTTTGACACAGTTGATCATACAACACTTTTAGAAAACTTAGAAACAATGGGACTCAGAGACACTGTGAGAAATATTTCGAATTCATAGCTTGAAAATAGGACAATCAATACGAAATCAACCAACTCTGTGTCAAATAAACTATTAATTAATAAGGGTGTCCCACAAGGCTCTGTTTTAGGACCTATACTATATTTACTTTATGTTCAAAGTATCAGTGAAATTGGTCTAGCGAGTAAATATACCATGTATGCAGATGATACAGTACTTCTATATGAAGGCAAGAATCCTTGAAATTTAGAAAATATGATAAATGAAGACTTGAAAATATTTGAAAAATGGCTCCACTGTAACCTTTTATCGATAGATACTAATAAAACAGAATATATGATCTTTCACCAAAAGAATAAACACAAAATTCACCTCAACCTCAAAATAAAAAATGAACTCTTAAAACAAACTGACCAGATAAAATATCTTGGTATTTGTTTTGGTGACACTTTGAAGTGGGACAAACATATTGATGTTTTGACAAAGAAAATATCTCCAATTATTGGTGCATTGAGAAGATGTCCCAAACTTGATATTAAAATTGCAAACATGATTCTCTACTCTCATAAACTGAGTCTTATCAACTATTTAATGTTTGGGGATCTTGTTCGAAGAATAATTTCAATAACGTATCAACATTATATAGAAAATCGTTAAAAGTATTGTATCGTCTCCCATTTGATACATCAACTAATCAATTGTATGAAGTACCAAATACGTATTCGTTAGATGGAATATATAGAATTGAAACTCTTAAAATATCATATATCATAAATAAAAAATTGAAGTCGAATATTATTTTGATACGGAATTCTGAAATGCATAATCATGAAACTAGACAATATAACTTGTTTCATCTTGACGCCGCTAGCTCCATAGTCGGACAAAAAAGATTCACTCATTCAGCCTTAACTGAATTCAATAAACTACCTGACAATATAAAAACTGCAGAAACATAGGTACACTCAGAAATGAAGTGAAAAAACTGATTATTTCTGAGCGAACTGGATACAATTAATCAAACCACTTTACTATGTTTTTCTACAAATATTATTCTTTGTTCGCCAATTTATAGTTGTTGATATATTTTGAATGATGAAATGTTCACCTATAGGTATATAATTATGTACTTCCTCATACCAGAGCCTATTCTGTCTGGAAGTTATTTGTTCAATAAATAAAATGAATAAATAAATAAATTGTAACATAGAAAATTGAAATGGACAGAAGTTCAGCTGTGCCCGAAGTCTTATCTAATACCATCCAGTGACTCTAGTTCTAACAAGATCACATATCACCCAACGACCAGATACGAATGATTTGATGCCACCTTTGATGTTGGATGGCAATCACGATTGGAAAAAAATATTGTGTATTTTCTTCTTCGATTCTTGGCAATGAAACATTCACCAAAAACTCCGAATTCGCTACCCATGTTTTGGTCGTTATGCTGGATGTAATTTATTCTTCCTTTCGAGGAGACGTCATGCATTCTCATTAAAAAATGAAAGACAAAAAAATATATAATATGGATGTATGTACTCTTTCCTGAACATGTAGAGGAAGGAAGATGCGAGAAGCCTTCATCCGAGCAAAAAACATATTCTTGTCCTTGTTTGTTAAGCTCTGGAATTCATTGCCTAATTAAGTATTCCCAAGAACTTATAATCTCCAAGAGAAAAAAAAATCCAAAGCAAATTTTGGGCAACCCAGGTTAGCAAAAAAACGCTCGGACCCATAAATTTTCGGATTTGAAGGTATTTTCACATAGATTATAGCCCATTGGTTTTACATTGCTACTATCTAGGTAGCCCATATAGTGGCTTACCAAAAGTGAAGACCACCTTATAAAAATTAACTGTTGATGTCCACATTGAGAGTTCAAACAAAAATTGATCAAGTCCAACCATAAATTAACTCGTCTATCAATTTACATAGTAACAATTTACATAGGCCACATAATTGTTCTCAGTCATTAGCCTTCAGGGCAATCCGGCAAAATTTTGAGATTTTTTTACTTTTGCTCACGCTCTAGTAATGCCAGTCGCCAACTGGTGAAACTGAAAATATTAGCCCTCATTGTTACAAAAAAAACATTTTTTGATTAACAATGTAAAAATTATGCCAAGGTCGTCTTATACTTATGATGAGGCACTTTATGGGCCACGTGTAGCGGGGGTTATAACCTAGCGAAAATACCTTCTGAATAAGATCTCATTTGACCCCCATTTAAGATTTTAGGGGCGAGTTTCAGCCTGGCTAGAGGGTTTCCGTTCAGGGGATAAAACTGTCAAAAAAATGTTTTTCCCTAAAATCAAAAATTATCGGGTCCGAGCGTTTTTTGATAAATGACCTGGGGTGCCCAAAAATTGACTGTTTCCTTTTCGAATGGCCAGCATGTATAAATTTTGTTGGAGGTAAACCTAGACTATCTTGTAGTTTCATAAACCTAGCTGGACTGCCTTGAAAGAAGGAATATTCTTATAATTATACATATTGGAAGCAACTCTTGCTGTGTTTTGATGAAAAAGACATACTTATACCGGATTAAATTTTGTATCTTTTCCGCTGACATTTCAATCAGTTTTCTTTTCAAAATACATTAATCAAAAATACATTACGATACAGATAATATGGCTAACAAAAGCATTTGGTATTTATTATTTCGTCCCCCATAATGGGGTATAATAACTTTCAAAATTGTATTCATACAATGAAGCTAAATGGTTTCAAAATATGTAACGAAATGAATAATAAAAACGCAACAAGGGTAACTACTCAATCAATTATAGGTAAGTGTTGTTAAAAAAGGTAAAAACAAAAGAGAAGAAAATTATGAAAAATAATTGTGTACTTAATCAATCATTATTCAAACAAAAATTTGAAGAAGCCAGTATAATGACAGAAATTGATTCATGTGAACTTTTGATATCATCAATTCAAGCGAGTAAAGAAGAGGCAACAAATTCATATAAAGTGAAACTCAGAGATGGAAATGATTGGATAACCAAAGAATTCTTGAATCAATTGAAAGTGAAGGATAGGCTATATAAATTGAAAATAAATAATCCATTTGATGAAATAATTCAGGCTCAAAAAAGAATATTTTGAAAAACAATGGAAAAAAAACATCAATGATATTGTTAAGGGAAAATTAGTAAAGAATGAAATAGAATATATTGAAAAATGAGGAAAAAAATTGTGATACCAAAAATGTACCAAATAAAAAGGCAGCACCAGGACATGATGAAATTAATACAAGAGACATACTGACATTGAAAACGACCATAAGGCCAATATTGGTTTTCCAAATCAACGAAATTTTTCATGAAGGTATCTATCCAGAAATACTCAAAATTGGTTAGTAAAGTCATTCCAGGAAAAGATTATTGGACATAGCCCTCAGGAATAGTTAACCGTAAACACGTGTTTCGGGCTTTTGGTGCTCATCAGTACATTGAAACAAGTGCAAAAGATAGGCAACACTTGGTGGAAGACGAAACAACAAACCGACGGAGTCATCAAACAGAAGCCAGCCGCACAATTTGCGTCCTTATACACGTGTCCTAAATTTTTGATTGTTTTAATTTGGTTGCCCTGTTGGAGTCATTTTTATGCAACCAAAATCTTGAATTATAAAATGGTACTCATTGATAATAACTGTCAGATTCAAACTACATTAGTTGTTTCAACTCGAAATTTCTGCAAAAGTCACTGCATGATACAAACGGAGGTGAGGCGATGGACAAATAGCTTCACTCAGATTGCAGAGAACAAGCGGAGGTATCAGGTGGCTTCCATGGCTCGTCAACATTTGCAAATACAATTCTTAAACTTTGTCATTTCGTGACTTCATTCGAGAGAACAGAAAAATACTTAGGTACATTCAGTTGTTTTCATTGGAAATCAAATTAACTGATGAGGCTACTAGATTCATACTCAAGAGACAAATATATTCGAAATGAAATTTTAAAAATAATTGCCTGAAGCGCAATTTTGCTCATATCAGCTTTCTCAAATTTCAAACTAATAACGACTCGCCACTACAAGAAATATACATTTTTAACAATTCTGTTCTATTTTTTTTTTCGATCTTCAACTACCTATAACTCTAGGGTTGGAAAATTTTCTCAGTGAATTAGGGCCCCATCAACCCTCGTTGCACCGGGGCCCCGACACCTCTCGCTACGCCACTGAATCGATGTAAAATTTTATGGTTTTCAAGAAAACAGTGGCACCCTCAGTGCTATCATAGATTTTGTAAATTACATTTCATCCGAGCTTGATAGTAAATATTTTGTGCTAACAGTTTCCATAGATTTGCGGGAGGCTTTTGATGTAGTCAATCATAAAATACTTCTGAATAAAATAGAAAACTTGGGTATCAGAGGGATTCTGTTAACATAACTCACAACATATTTACTAAATAGAAAACAATATGTTCGCCTAGGAAACATATGGAGTGAGACTCAAGAAACTAATTATGGAGTGCCTCAAGGATCGGTTTTGGGCCCCTTAATAAGGGTGAACAATGATTTGGAAAAATGCCATGGATGGTTGATAAAAAATATTATTTCGAGAAAAACTACTTATATGCTTTTCAAGCAGAAAAATATTAACCCAATTGATATACAAATAAGAATAGAGAATGAAATCATAAATAAAGTGGACAATATGAAATATTTATGATTATTCTTGGATGAAAATTTAAACTGCAGCGTACATGTATATCAAAAAACAAAGTGATGCCAATGATTGGGACACTCTACCGATATAGGGATTACCTAAATGATAAGATAATGAAACAAATTCATAATGCCTATTTCTTGACAATATTTAGCTACCTAATACCAGTCTGGAGCGCTTGTGGAATAACATTAATGAATTAAACACAGAGGATTCAAAATAAGGTAGTGAATGTTTTATTCAATTTCAGTTACAGAACATCAACAGATGTAGTTTACAAAGAAACCGGTTTTCTTCGAATAGCACAAATATTGAGAATTGAGCAAAACCAATTTTTGTACAAAGTGATTAAATAATCAATTCCAGTGCAATTCGCAATTAGATATTGTCGCGGGAGCGCCCTCCTAGGCGGAACACCCTGTATCCATATATGCATCCACCTTCACTCAACTAACGGCGGTGTGCTGTCCTGAGTCAGCAGGATGCTCAGCGTGCGGGGCACGGAGGGAGACCACGCAGCTCAAGCCCACGTCAATTATTTGATTGCAATGAGAATGCATTTTGTATAATTAACAATTCAGTTGTACTGTCACCACATAACTTGAAACATCTATCAGTCAACTCCCCAATACACCATTTTTGCCGAAACTGCTCCATTTATTGAACTACTATAGCTACGACCCCATACCCCTACGTCACAATATGGTAAACAATATACACTCTCATGTTACCAGAATACAAAATACTTTATACATTATTAATGTAGGAACAAACATAGCATTGAACAGCCCACTGAACAAATGTATCAAAACATTCAACAGTCTACCACAGTATATTAGATATATTCCTAACTTAAGCCAATTTAAAAATAAAATAAGAATGTATGTTCGAGAGGAAGATTTATAGTTTTTTATGACGAATGGGTGATTTTAAATGTGTCAGAGTTGAAACAAAAAATGTATTCTGAGAAGTTATTATGTGTAGGTAATTCATAAGTTTTAATATGTATTTTTGTGATTGTGACTTTAAACCGTTCTGTTTTGAATACGTATTTTTTGTACTTTGTTCCGGAACCATCACTTGGATGCTGATTGGGAAACGACGTTAGTTCGAATGATTCTGATTTTTATTGTATTGTTTGAATTAAAAATTAATTGAAAATGATTCATCTCCAATCATGTAAGTTTTGATTTTACATAACTTTATTTTCTCACGAGACTGATGATGTTTCATGTTTCTCCAACCCATAATTGTGAAAATATATCTTGTGGAGATCACTGAGTGTTTTACTTCTTGGGAACCACTAATTCCAATTTGAGGATGGACTACTTTATGTCATTTTGTCATCAGAGGACGGTCGAGATATTATATTAATAATCACTGTTTGTAAACGTAGGATTATTATAACAATTTAGCGATATCATTTTCAACCTGGAAGTATTTGTATAATTCTCTTGTAAACCGTGTACCAAATCAACTGTATCGTAAGGAATCAATAAGGATGAAGTGTCAGCGGAAAATATTCTGAATTTATTCAGCTATAAGTATGTCTTCTATCAGAACACTGAACTTTATAATACCGTTCACTGGTGATAGGTATTTTTTTATCTCTTGGAGCGCAGGAAAGGAAATTGCTATAATGTTCGAAGAATATCGTGCATACCTAGGGAGGAAAAGGAGAGAATGTATTTGTTTTTTGAACTTTTGGAGGTTATAAGTTCTTAGGAATACTTGCATTGACAAAGAATTCCAAAGCTTTGTATATTGATAAATCAAGTAATGGCAAGTAAGACGCAATAGTAGATACACCCAACGTATGCTCGGAACATGTTTCTTTAACCCATAATTGGAAAAATATATTTCGTTCAGATGACTGTGTATCTTACTATCCTGAGAAGAACATTATAGAAATTCCCATTCGTGCGCCCAAGACATTACAAAAGAAATATTGAAAAATAACACATTCGTGTCCGGTAAATCGCGCAAAATTCCACGATTTGATAACGAGATGAGAAATATTCCATCCGATTGAACGGTAGATCTTAACGCCAGGTGATAAAGAGTTGAAACAAAACGCAAATAGAAGGACATAGTGCCTTCTTTGTGAATATAAATACTAGCGTTAATATTTCCAAGAATTTTTCACCCCTGTCGAAAGATAATATCGGATATAACAGAACATCGAACCGATGGACCGGATATTATATTGTAATTTGCTACTATCAATAGTTTTTCCAGACTAATACTGCAAAGAAGTAATTTACTGATGTGTTCTTCGATGAATTTCTATTTTACGCACAAATTTGTCATACATTGAACCTCATGCATCATAATCATGTTCTTATTTTTTAACTTTTTTAGCTGATAACGTCTAGTTGTGAGAACTGTTCTTCAAATCTAGCAAAATCTAATTCCGAACATAAATCGCCATCTGAGGACCAAATCAGTAACGAAGAAAGACTTAGAGAACTAGAATTAGAATTAGCCCAAACCAAACTGGCGCATGTTGAAGCAGAATGTCGTAACCAGGTAAATATTTATTAAGATTTATTGGCGAATTGGCTATTTATAATTAGGAAGAAAAATTTGCCTTGTTACAGAATAATTATATCCTAAGGTATTAGTGTGTTTTCAGGTGAACATTGGTGTCCTTAATAACGTTTAAAAAGTTCCCGATTTGGCAGTAATTTGAACGTCAAAAATCTTGCTCCGAAATGTTTTCTCCATGGCTGTAGGTGAGCAGTGTATATCACTGAAGATGATCCTACTTGGTCATTGAATGTATCAGTGAATGTCCTGATTTCGAATCCGTATCTCATTTTATAGAGGTGCAATAATCCTATTCACATATAGGCCAGAGTAGCTTCGTGGTTGAAGCGTCAGTATTCTATCCACTTTGCCGGTAGGTGGGTTCGATTCCCACCACGACCGCAGAAATTTTTCTAATGGCCTAAGAAAGTGTTTGGGATCACACGTTATTCATTGCTCGCACAAGTCTCTTGAAGACTTCGAAGGGTTGCTCGTAAGGGGGCAACCGAATGATGGATAAGAACAATTTAAGAACAACAACAATCCTATTCACTTCGACTATCAAGTTGAAAACAGCCTTGAAGGGTTTTTGGAATTCACAATTTAGGAGTCATATTTGATCTCAGTTATAGAAGGTGTCCCAATATTGCTGGGACACAGAGGTATCACGTGTAATACAGGTCAAAATAAGTTGATTGGACCCAATTTTTTTACATAACGAAATGTACCGTTTGTCCGTGAGACGAGTTCAGAGTTTCTATAGAAAAACACATTTTTGTACGTTGTTCAAGAATGAGTGATTACCCTTCATTCGGTGATCAAAAAAACCCAAAAGAAATTGTGGAAGGGTTGAAACCACACTCACCCCCTGACATTTGTTTTGCTCATAACATACGGTTCTCAAATTATCTAAGCGAGATAACTGATTAATTACTCTTGTGAAAATTTCGTATTCCTCATAGTTCCAAAGGAAAAAAAGTGTTTTCCTAAATAATGCTAACATAAATTCGTAGTATAAAAGTTTAAAATCACTATGATAAACAATTTAGTTGAGAGTGGGAACAGAGATAGAACTTTTTTAAATGAATGTGCAATATGACACCTTCATCAATACAAATGTCAATTCCTTTGTTTCCACTGCCAACTAAATTTGTATCACAATGTTATCAAACTTTGACTTGCAAAACCCTTTCACCCACTAAGAATGTTCTGAAACTTCAGAGGGTGAGGGTGGTTTCAACTCTTCTACAATTTCTTTCGGGTTTCTTTGATTACTGAAAGAAGGGTTATCCTCTAAATGCACATTTGCCAAATTTCATCCAATTCGTTTCACTCATTTCTGAACAGCGTACAAAATAGTTATTTTTGTATCTAGAGCGCGAAATGCTACTTTGGTGATCGAGATCTGATTTTTTAACGAGGCGTAGCCGAGTCGAGATGACCAGAGTATTTCGCGCTCGAGTTGCAAACAACATTTTTTCTACAAACGTCGAAACATACAGTGTGTCTGTATGTATTGTCACCGAAATTATAAACACCTGCTAAATTTCAAGTTAATCGGAGTTATGGAATTTTTGTTGACTAAAAAAAATGGCTGCTCCAAGATGGCGGACAAGATTTGGTCCGATTCCATTCAAAATTGGTAAGTGGGGGTTTTGAGGTCGGAGATCATGATTTTTTTGTTGAAATTCATAAATTCAAGATGGTGGCTTCCAAATAATTTTTTGTTTTTGTATTAATGACGATAACTCCGTTGTTATCAACACAAAACTATTACTGCGACACATCATCTGTAAGAGAAAAAAAAGTTATTGGTAACTAAGTCATAGTGAGCTATGACCTACATTTGAAAAACTAAAGTTGGTGCTGATATCTCGAATTCTAGAAGAGTTGGTATAAATTTCAAATTCTTTTCGAAATCACTTTGAAAAACTGCCATGAGAATGTGAAATTCCTATTCGAATATTTTCATAAATAAAGAAGTTACGGAGGAGACATGAAAATGATCAAAATCTGTTTTTTGCGTATAAAACAAAAACGAATAGATTTTATCAAAATATTTTTTCACATTATAGTTTGCCTTGACAAACTCCACATTTGGTGTCATTTAACCGACCTCGTATCTCTCACCGTTAAAAAGATACCCAAGGTGAGCATGGTAAGTGGGGCACACTGTATAGTTCTAAAGTAGAAATATGTTCAGTTTGATATAAAAAATAGTGTTGAACTGTCTTAAAAGGCCTCCCCCTATCCTCCCTAGGTACCCACGATGTTCCACGAACATAGTAGGAATTTCCTTTCGTGCGCTCCAAGAAACAAAACAAAGTTATCGTTGAACATTCGGGAATAAATATTTTGTGGATGTTTGCTCGATTGAGGACCATCAAGTTAAAATATAAATATCTCATATATTTTACACAACATTGCGCGAAGTAGGTACTTCGCGCACTGTTTTACTTCGCGCATTGTTTTGTGCAAGGTATCATGGTAACGTAGGAAACTGAAAAAAAGTGTCACTTCGCAATTTGTTATCAATGCGTGAACCTCTTTTGACGTTTGTCGAAAAATGTGTTTTTTTTATCTAAACTTTGAACTCATCTCACGGACAAACGGTACATTATTTTATGTAAACAGGTTGGGTCCAATCAACTTATTTCGAATTGTATTACACGTATTAATAATAATAATGATGATAAAAATAATAATCTTTATTTCAAGGAACGTTATGCAATAAATTGAATTTAACACAAAACATGGAATGAAAAAAACGTCACAAAAATGGTACATTCGACAGAACTTGTACCTAAATGACATAATTATTAAATACTATTATAATTGTGCTGTTTAAATTTAAATAAATTCATCCACAGTATAAGGCTCTATTTCCATTAATAATTTAAAAATAAATTGTTTTCTTGAAGATATTCAGTGTTTTTATTTCTTGAACCTCAACTGGCAGCTTCATAAAAAATCTCAAGCAACAGTATTTTGTACTCTTTTTTGTGATCTTGTACCATACAATCATTGAAGAAATGTTTATTTTTGAAGAAGAATAGCAAACACTCTTGTGTAAATATTGCACTAGCTGTTAGAATTCTATTTTGTTCAAATTTTCCTCGACACGATTCCAAGTTGGTAGCTCTGCGTCCCAGCAATTTTGGGACACCCTGTATTTCACACATCATATTAACTCCGGTCAGTAAATCTTTTCAATTATTAGCTTTCATTTCAAGTTATACAAAAAACATATGTTATGGCTTTTAGAAAGAGTGCTTACATTTTCATTTTTGAGGTTTATAGCATTTAAAATGAATCTGTAACATGGCGAATACGATTATATGCAGGTTATGCAAAATTAGTATTATACATAACCAGTGTGGAAATTGACATACATCGCACAGGTGACATGTAACGAGGGCATGGAATACACTTTCCAAAACACAAATACAGATTTTAAACATCTCATTGTTTTAAATATAACTTGTTATATGTGTTTTATCTATGTTAAAATTAATCTAACTTATTATTTGGCAAATAAATTATTTTTTATTTTCGAATAATGAAATTATTGTTGTTCTAAAATTGTTCTATCCGTCATTCGGTTGTCCCTTACGAGCAACCCTCAGAAGTCTTCGAGAGACTTTTGCGAGCAAGGAATGACGGGGGCCTTACCTTTTAACTTATGATCCCAAATACTTAATTGAAAGTGATGTAGTTTGGATATCATATTTTTTATTGTATTCGACGTTTTCCTCGTTGTCGAGAGCTTGGTCGAGAGCTACCACGCACCTCGTAACCACGTAACCAAAAATATAGTGCCGAGTCACGACGGTGTATAGATATCCGAACCACACCGGTGTAGACCCGAGCCACACCTTTGTATGACAGCATTGACAGTAATGAGGTTATGTCACGCAGATTATGACAAAATGACAAATACCGAAACCTAAACAAATATGGGCTGCGTGCAAGAACTGTCAGATGACCGACGCTGGAGGCAAAACATTGAAACACAACGTCACTTTTCTTATTTGTTTACAAGTGATCGAAATAGTTTTCCACAATTATTTTGGCATATATGAATCGTATTTTTCCGCTATTCATCAATTCGCTCATGCCATCACATTGTGCTGTTGTAAAATGCACAAAAACTGCAGCGGGAGATGAAGCAATCCGGATGGTACATTATGATTTAAAAGTAAGTACCCTAGGTATTAGCGATTCATGCTAAGGAGTACTCCCTCTACCGTTGTCTAATATAACTAACGTATGGGCCATTGATTGCTTTGTTTACATTAGTTTGCGTGTATTTTGTATGAGGAGTAGTTGTGTTTTAATTGTCTATAAATTTGTTTGAGAACTTCTATAAACGTTTAAAAACATGAGTCATTTTGTTGTGTGCCTCATTGTTCATCTTGAGCAAAGAAATCCCGAGTATAGCTTTCATTCCTTTCAATAATCAGGACAGTCTAATTTTGTATTTGAAACTAATAATTTGGGAAACAAGAAAGTGATCGGTAGGAGAAAGGTGTGGATTCATAACTTGAAGATTGGCCCATAGAGTAGTACCGACATTCGCCGTTCTGGCGCTACGATCTTAATCTCAGTCGCCTATAGTCACTCACATATAGTTTTCATTTTTGAAATTTTGTTATTTCTCTGATTTCTCATCGGAATTCCTTCTACAATAGGAGCTAATAGAAATACACCTGAAATTTCTGAAATAATGCAAGAAGATTGGATTCATGCAATCAATCGGGAGGACTGGTCTGACATGATGAAGATCGTGTGTGTTGTAGACATTCTCAATCTATTAGCAGCATTAGCTTGTATTGCAGAAGTGGCAGAAGGCAGAAGGAAATTTAATAAGGAATGACAACATTTCATAATGATAACTATGTGAGATTACTATTTACCTGGAAAATCATATTCCTCAGTCTCTTGCTGCATTTTTTGTGCATTGTACAACAGCACAATGCGAAGGCATGCTTGATTTAATG